TTAGGTAAATCTTATTCTTACAAATTCTAAAAATAAACCTTTTGAACTGCAAAATTCAATTAATAAAAAAACATTCTTCAGCTACTTTAAGATTGAGAAACACTGTAATTCTGACCTGCACTAATAGCAGGGGTCATTTCATAGAAAAAGAGGTGCAGGAGCTCATTAGCATAACTCATTAGCACAACTTATTTGCATATGCCACGCCCCCTGACATCACCGAAGTGTGTCAGAAAGCAACACCCACCACTCAGGCTCCACTGGACTGTTCTGGATTGCTAGCTATTGGGGGGGGGGGACGTGCAGATCTGTCCTCGCAGAGGAGGAAGAGCTTGTACCTGAATAAAACTTGGTCTTTAAGGTGCCACTGGACTGTTTTGGATTGCTAGCTATTGGGGGGGGGGACGTGCAGATCTGTCCTCGCAGAGGAGGGAGAGCTTGTACCTGAATAAAATTTGGTCTTAAAGGTGCCACTGGATTGTTTTGGACCGGGGGGCCAGGGGGAGCTCTGCAACTTACCTGGCTGCTTCTTGCTCTGCCTGAGGGCTGCTGGGAGCAGAGGGTGGGGCTTGTTGCATGTGCCCGCCCCCTGGGCTCTTTACTGCCGGAGCTCCACTCCTGTGTGCTCCTGCAGGAAATGATCCCTGACTAATAGGATGTGTCCTTTAGTCCCCACTTGGATCACAATGACATCTCTCACACATTTTTGTCTTAACTTAGGAAGGATGGCTCCAGAACAAACTAATTTATGCAGTAGCCAAATTGCTTGCTCACAACTGTAATGCCAGTAGCTCCCAAACGTAGCATTTTTGCTCACAAGACTTCACAGCTTATAGGGAACAATGCTTATAGGCCTTTCACAGGCAACTGTAAAGGAGTCTGGTATGAGGTATAGCTAGGACTGAATGGAAAAGGTCCATTAAACCCAAGCATCTGTGAGAGCTTTTGTGGGGTAGGGTGGGCAGAGAATAAGAAAAATGTTCTACGCTCTCTCTCAGAGGACAAAGAATCAAGCGGAAGATTAGTAGGACGCATGTCTGACCTGTGACAGTGATGTTGAAGAAGACAGAATCACCACCCGCATCACACGCAAACTCCCCTGCGTCATGCACTTGTGCAGAGGGAATGATCAGCCGGCGGTGGGGGCCTTCACTCTCCAGCAAGAGGGCCTCGCTTTCTCCCACCTCCTCCCCATCCTTGTACCAGCGCACAAGAGCACCGGGGCAGGACAGTTCACAGGCCAGCACCACACGCTCTCCAGCCCGGTAGGCATGGGCCTCCTCCGCACTGGAATGCACGATCTTCACAGGAGGTTCTGTGGCGGAAACACACACACACACACACGGTGAAGATTCTTTTGCGTTGAAACACACACACACGGTGAAGATTCTTTTGCTGCAGGAGTATTTGTTGTTTCTCCAGATATAGAAACTATATAGAATATGTTTAGAGGAAGCAATGAACTAGAGAATCTCCCTGCTGCGACTGAGTCTCATGCTGGTATATCTTGTGTTAATACAGGATCAGTTGGCTCAACCCACAGAGAGCTGGACTCAGAACTGGAAGGCGGGGATTTCAAATTCTGCCTCTGACACAAATGAACTGTTTGGCCTTGGAGCAAAGTCACTGTTTCTCGACCTCAGTTTCCCAATGAAAACAGCAGGTAACAGTGATCACAGGCACAGGATTGCTAAGGGAGGCTCACCTGTAAATCCTTATTTCACCACGAAATATGGGCCAAACTAGACTTGACAGTGTCTTCATGGCCACTATTTTAAAGTCATTTGAAAATGCTGCAAACACAGTGCAGCACTCTGGCTCCCCCCAGCGGCACTTAATAAAGCATGGGAGGTGGACGAGAGAACCTCAGTCCATCACACTATAGTCAGGATCCAGACTTTAATCTGGCGGCGGCAGCATACTTGTGGAGGCCATGCCCTAAATCTTGACCTGGGCAAGACTCACTCTCTCAGCTCAGTCTAACTCAGAGCTGTTGTGAGGCCAAGATGTAAAATAATTTATGCACAAAAAATTGCTGGAGAAATTATAAAGAACAAGCAGCAAGGACTCATTCCCCCCCCCCCTCTATCTTCCCCCACTATTTCTGCTTTCCTTTCCCTGGCAGCCCCCATAAGCAGGTGGGGGGGACACTGGCTTGGGGGTGCATGCTGGGGGGGGGCAGGAAGAGAAGCACAAGCAGAGGGCCTGGTGGTAGGCAGAGGAGGGTCCTTGCCCTGGAACCCAAAACCTGGAACAAGCCCTGCTCACAACAAACAGTGTTTGGGCTGCAGAAACTTTATGGATTATTAATCAACATGTCAATTAGCAGCAATGTGACATTGTACAATTCAGTGAATCAAGTGGGATTGCTCTCATTGGCCCTTTGTTGATCTCTTGTTCTGAATGTTGACATAGTTTGGATCTTTACTCATAAGAGGTTGCTGACCCCTGGGCGACAGCACCTGTGCGGAGCAGAAATCTAACACACGCAACTTGTCAGTACAGGAAGATAAAGGACTGTGTCGCTAAGGGACATTTAGAGGGGAAGTTTCTGACCTGTAACAGTGACCTTGAAGAAGACAGAATCTCCCCCCATGTCACATGCAAACTCTCCTGCGTCTCCCATTTGAGCAGAGGGAATAACCAAGCGACGGTGACACCCCTCACTTTCCAGCAGGACAGCCTCGCTTTCTTCCACTACCTTCCCATCCTTGTACCAGTGCACAGGAGCATCAGGGCGGCACAGTTCACAGGCCAGCACCACACGCTCTCCAGCCCGGTAGGCATGGGCCTCCCTGGCATTGGAATGCACAGCTGTCACAGGAGGTTCTGCAATGACAAATAAATACCATGGTGTAGAAATCATCCACAGAACAGAGCAAGGGGGCAAGGGGGATCATTACTAATCTTCCTAGTTGGGGAGAAAGAGACTGTTTTGTAAATCGAACTCCCACTAGCGCTGGATGGCAGAGATCCCCGTGCTTGTTTGGGCACCATCAAGTTAGAGCTGCCAATTGCTTCTTGTTTTAAGAGGTGCCTTTACTTCAATGAATTTGCCCTTATTACAAGGTTGGTAAGAGTTTCTAGGGCTTGGCAGTCGACTGAGTTCAATGGACTTATAAGGGTGTAACTCAGCCTGGGATTGCACTGTGAGGCTCCAGGGCCCCATCCTTGTGGTTCAGCAGAACCACACCAGCTTCTCCCCCCTCCGCTCACCATCCACAGTCACAGTGAAGCTGATGGCATCATCCCCTGCATTGCATGTATAAGTCCCAGAATCCAAAGAGCAGGCTGAAGGAATTAGCAGTCTGCGAATGTTGCCTTCTGACTGGACAGCAAGTGCACCGTCTTCCGAAGCCACAGGGTTTCCATCTTTGAGCCAGCAAATGGTAGCATCAGGTATAGAGACTTCACATTCCAGGACCAGTGGCATCCCAGCCAAAAGTGTTCGATGTCGTCTGACCTCTGGCACTGGGGTGATGATGTGTGCTTGGGGGGCTGTAGAGACACAATGCATGAATCCTGTGTAGCTGCAGGCATTAACTTCATAGTGTGCCAAGATTTAGCGATCCACCTGCGACCAGTGTTCCCTCTAAGCTGAATAACATCAACTGAGATCAGCTAGGTGTGGCTTTAGGCCACTCTTCTAAATTTAAGGCCACCGTGAGTGCAGTTGACAAAGGTTTTCACAATGGGCTGTGGAATTCAGTCCTCAGTCCTCTAGCCCAGAATCAAGTGGCAAATACAGCATCCAGAGTAGCTCAGCATTCATTCAGGAAAGTGTCCTTGTTTCTGGTTTCCCAGGCTATCTAGATTTCTGCTGGTGGGGATGCAATTCTGAAGGCAAATTTGTGATCTGGATTAAATATGCACATCAAATGCATTTGAATACTTCTATTTTCCTCACTTACCGCAATTACATATTTTAGGATTTTTGTAGATCAGGAGTGGAATCAATAGCAAGAGTGATGGTAAAGAAGGGATGCATGGCTCTTGGGGGAGCATATATATAGATATATAAAATGCAGGAGTAGGGTTGCCAACTCTTGGTTGGGAAATACCTGGAGATTTTGGGGGTGGAGCCAGGGGAGGGTGGGGCTTGGGGAGGGGCCTCAGCGGGGCGTAATGCCACAAGGGCCCACCCCCCGAAGCAGCCATCTTCTCCAGGGGAACGGATCTTGGTCATCTGGAGATCAACTGCAAGAGCAGAAAGCGTCCAGGTGCCACGTAGAGGTTGGCAGCCCTACATGCAGGGCAGGGGAAAGGGTTATGAAATGTAAAAAGCATTGATAGATGCAAAATCCATGTCCTCAGAAACACTCTCCAATTCTGTTTCAAACAGGGATAGAAACCTGCTATTTGTAAAATAAAAGCACAAGATCACAGGTCCTACTTCATAAAAGAAATTTTGGGCAGTCAGGGGGAAAACCATATATAAAATGTCTACCTGGCATGTATGAATATCTCATATGCCTGTTTAACATTGATCACACGGGTTTGGAAGGTACTAAGGAATGGCACTGGCTGGAATGTTGTCATATGTTGCTGCACACCTGCATGCATGGATAAGACTGCAAGAAGGGAAGGGGAGGGAATCACACCTGCTTGCCCCATCTCATGCATAAATCCATCCGGGCCATGGTCTAAACAGAGACTTTGTGTGCACCATGTTCAATGACCCAACTCAAACCGTCCCCTGAAGGTCAAGGGCAGGGGGCACAACTCCATTCCCCTTGCCCAGGAATCCATAACGATGAATAAGCCACATGAACATCGTATCTCTGTTAAGGCTTCCTGAGTTCTACCAAATTGGATTGTGCCACTTTTTCTTTTGCACATGCAAAAATGAGAGCAAATCACAAAAATTGCAAAATAAACAAGGGCTATTCAAACAAAGGAGCTGCGGTGGCTCAAGTGGCTACGACGCTGAACTGCAGGCTGTGGAAGGTCAGTATTTCAGCAGTTCGAGACCCGAGTGTGCCGCAAGACGGAGTGAGCTCCCGTCTCTAGTTTCAGCTCCTGCCAACCTAGCACTTCGAAAGCAAGAAACTGCAAGTAGATAAATAGGTACCACTTCGGTGGGAAGGGAACAGCGTTCCGTGCGCCTTGGTGTTTAGTCATGCCGGCCACATGACCACGGAAACGTCTTCGGACAGCGCTGGCTCTTCAGCTTTGAAACGGAGATGAGCACCGCACCCCTAGAGTCGGATTCGACTGGCTTTCGAGCAAGGGAACCTTTACCTTTATTCAAACAAAATCATGATGAGGGGGATTACATTCCAGAGAGCAAACCTAAACGTGCTGAAGGATCCAAATTCTCAGACATCATATTTGCCGCTAGAAAGGTTCCAGGTGCAGTTGAAGTCAAGGGAAATGGGTAACAGCTGGCTGCTTTGATGCAGGAGGCGCTACTTCCCCCAAATCCTGGTCGGAGCACGGGTTTTTTTTTTTAATGAGGGTGAATCTGTTGCAGCAAAAACAAAAAGCAGTCTTTGCAGCACCTTGAAGACTAACTGATTTCCTGAAACATAAGCTTTTGTGGGCTAGAATCCACTTCATCACATTTCATGCATTCTGTATATGCACCTCAAGACCCCTTTTGTTTAATGGGATGGTGGGCGATTCTGCATCTAGCATTCACTCCATGTTTTCTCAACCAGGAGGAAAAAGTGCAGCTCAAAACGACATCCAAATACCTTGGGGCCAACGCCATACTGACTGCAAAGTCACCCCTGAATGGCCAGCATAAAACAGCCATAAATCTATGCAGAAGGTACCATAAAATCTGGTGATCAAAGGAAGCGAAAGGCATGGAGTGTGGAGGCTACCATAAAATCGGATGATCAAAGGAAGTGACAGCAGCATGCCATGCAGAGGGGAATTTCTGTTCCATGGGTTTGCTAAAACAACGGAGTGAAAAGCCAGTGCAGAATCAGCCATAGGCTTTCCAGGTCTGGGTTGGAAAATACCTGGAGACTTTGGGGGGGGGACCCAGGTGAGGGCGGGGTTTGGGGAGGGGAGGGTGCACAGCATGGCCCCATGCCTTCAGAGCAGCCATTTTCTCCAGCGGAGCTGATCTCTGTCAGTTGGAGATCAGTTGTAAAAGTGGGAGATCCCCAGGCCCCACCTGGAGGCTGGCAACCCTAATCAGCCAGTATCTCTGTACCAGGTAGGTGAATTCTTGGCCTGCTGGCCAGGCTCAGTTGAAGACTCACCTTGTACATGCAGCACAGCACATTCCTTGACCCCAATGGCCTCAAATCGCACCTTGGACTCCACAGCTGCTAATTGCACGTTGCTGATCCGCATGGTGTGCTCCACCCCACTTTGGGTGATCTGGCACTGCTGGTCTTCCTCCTCCAACCTTTTCCCATTCAAGAACCAGCTCCCACTTATAGCAGCTGAGAGCTCCACTGAGAAAATAGCATCCTCACCAACGTGAACCCAAACATCTTGCAGTCCCCTTTGCACATGGGCCCTGGGCACTGAAAGAAAAGACAGAGGTTGAATCTGCATTTGTCTTTCCTACCTGTGTCCCAGCCTTCTGACTCCGTCTTCAAAAAAGCTGTCTACATTTGGTTTCGTTTTCACACCTCAACAGTGCTAGCATACTTTTGCATGTCTGCATATGTTTATCACCCTCTTGTGGCGACTCCACTGTCACTGTGCCTCCACACTGCTTTAAATGAATCTTCTCCAAACAACGTTCAAACAAGCATAGAGAAAGACGGTGTCACAGCAGCACAAAACTGATTTAAAAATGCAAATACGGATTCGACCAGAGCTTGAGGAGGTTGGCTTGAAAGGGGTAGTACATTCACATATACAAGGCAGATGATGGAGTTCAGTTGTGGAAGAAAGGAAATGGGAGACAGGATGTCTGGAACAGCAGACCAGTGCCTAGCAGTTGGACAAACAGGCCAGTCCATATGCAAAAGACTAATATAAAACTGACATTAGAAATCACAATACTCAGAAACCATCTGGAGAATTTTTCTTCCTTCAGGACATTCTATTGCTAACTTAAAAGTGGCAGTTCTTCTACAGAGAAGTTTCGAGGAGAGATTATAATGTGAGACTGCTGAGCTTGAATTCATCAGCAAGGGACCTTGAGGATTCTTATCTCATTACAGATGCTAATTTTCTGCATTTCCCACCTCTATGCATGTCTCCCTGCTCTAATCAGGCATTGTACTTCTGCATCCTGATTCCAGCTGACCCTTTTTAACATCCCTCCCACCTTCTGATGGATCTTCTTTCCTATTTGCATTTGACAAAGTGAACTTTAACTCATGAAAGCTTACAAATTTACAAACTAGATAATCTAAAAATTAGAGAGCCAGTTTGGTGTAGTGGTTAAGCGTGCAGACTCTAATCTGGGAGAACCGGGTTTGATTCCCCACTCCTGGCTGGAGTGGCACCTGGCTGGATGACCTTGGGCAAGCCGTAGTTCTGATAAGAGCTGTTCTTGAAAAAGAGCAGTTTCTGTCAGAGCTCTCTCAGCCCCACCTACCTCACAGGGTGGCTGTTGTGGGGAGAGGAAGGGAAAGGAGTTTGCTCTGAGACACCTTTGGGTAGTGAAGGGCGGGGTATAAATCCAATCTCTTCTTCTTGTTGTTGGTCTTTAGGGTACTACTGGACACAAATTTTGTTCTAGCAGTGTGAATGTGTGTGATGAGAACAAAAGGAAACCAGACACACAGTCAGGGGCATGCAGATGAGTGTAAAACTCGGCTCTCATTTGCCATGGTTATTGCTTTTCTTTGGTTCTGTATGCCTATTGTCCTCTGTCATCCTGGTCGAGTGGAGGGAGTCTGTGACAGTGTGAGGGTGTGGGTGTGAGAGCTGCTTTGCAAAAAGCATGCAAGCTTGTAACTGCATTAAGTGGGGCCTCCCTTCAGTTTGGTGTAGTGGTTAAGTGCATGGACTCTAATCTGGGAGAACCAAGTTTGATTCCTCACTTGCAGCTGCTGGATGACCTGGGCAAGCCATAGTTCTGTCAGAGCTGTTCTCTCAAGAACAGTTCTGGAAAGAGCTCTTTCAGCCCCACCTATCTCATAGGCGTAATCTTCGTGGGGGCGGCGGGGCTTCAGCCCCCGCCGAAATTTTCAGGAAGGTGCTCAGCCTCCCCCGGGAGCCACCCTTGCTCCTAGCACAGCAATGCCTCTGGCCCAGCCCCAGCCCACCCCCCCCCCGGAAATTGGAGAGTCTACAATTGGAAAGTCTACACCCTTGTGGGGAGTGGAAGGGAAAGGAGTTTATAAGCTGCTTTGAGACTCCAAGTGAAGGGTGGGGTATAAATCCAATCTCTTCTTCTCTTCTTCTTCTTCTCTGGGAAGTATGTGTGCTTGACCTTGGACAGCAGACACTGCTAGACACTAAGCTTGCAGGTGTTGGGGGAGGGCTAACAGTGCATAGTAGATGTAGGCCAAATCTGCATCTAGCATTTGATCCGCTGTCTTACCAAACCCACACTGGAACAGAAATTCCCATCTGCATTACATGCGACTTTCACTTTGATTGATTGTTGACTTTTATGGTAGCGTCCAGACTGCATGCTGCTTTCACATCGTTTGATCTCTGGTTTTATGGTGGCTGTCTGCATAGATTTATGGCTGGTTTATGGCCATTCAGGGGTGACTCTGCAGTCAGTACGGTGTTGGCCTGGGGTATTTAAATGTGGTTTTGAACTACATCTTTTTCTGTTCCAGGGTGGGTTTGTTACAACAACAGAGCAAATGCTAGATGCAGATTGGGCCGAAGACAGGCTGGATGGATCGGTGTGATTGGACTGATCATCGAGGGGCTGTTTGAATTCTATATAATACCAGAAATGGTGCCAAGAGGGTCAGTTCTGACACAGTCTTAGCTTGACACATTCTCATCTCTCAATAAACAAATCACTGCCAAGAGAGTGTCGTTGGGAGTCAGTTTGTTCAAGAGACTGACAATGAGTACCACTAGGAATCTCCTGTCATTAGCTACCAGTGCTGGTTAGCTAATGAGAATATGACCTCCCAAATTCATGTGCCTTGCCTGAATATGCTGTTGTAGGAGGTTTTTGGATGGTCTTCCCCTCAAATGGTGGGAGTCCTCTGACAAGCAGCTGGCTCAGCAAGGTACAGGAATGCAAGGAAGTCAAGGTGTCTGTAATGCTACTATGTAGTGGAAGGGGTCTTTTTGGCTATAGAGATACCTGGGAAGGTGAAGTGGAGGACCAAGGAATGGCCAGTGCTTGCATGCTGGAGTGGAATAATGAGATGAGAAAATGGAGATACCTGCAATGTCCATGCAAGGAGGGTGCCCAGTCACCATTAGGAAGCAAAGAGGCTTACCAAGATGCACAGCGCCAGGAAATTCCACATGCCCGCTGCACCCATACTGGTTGGCAGAACACACACGAAAGTGGTAGTCAGCCTCCTGTGGCATACCATCACCTGGAACTTCAACCGTGCTGGCAACATCAGTGGTGAGGCAAGGCACCCACTCAGCATCTCCAACTGCTTGCCGCTCCAGGATATAGCTGCTCGGCGGGCTGCGGTGCACATCGGATGGTGGACACCAAGTCAGAAGAGCAGCATTACTGTGGGCCATACACATCCTAGCCGCCACAGGGGCACTTGGAGGGATCCTCTTGGCACCTGGAGAAAATAAATGACTTTTGTCGTTTCTCAAAATATGAACTTGGGCGCACCATCCATCAGGATGTGACTTCTGCAGCTTACAAAAATAAATGGATCCGGGCAAAAGCACAGTACGTTGGGACTTGCAAAACTTCCTGGTAGATTGTGCTCTTATTTTTATTCTCCACTGTACTTCAGCACACCCATATGCCACCTGCCGCCTTCTCAGTCCAATTCAGGCATATAACAAATTAAGCCACTCAATTGTTACAAAGTCGGCATGACCCACTCCCACCACCCTGCCTGCAAGACGGGTGCTGGGGGTTCCAGCTGGGCAAATCACAGCTGCTAGGTGCCAATCCTGAGTTGGAAAATGGTGCAAAGAGGGAAGACTTCAGTCCCCCTCTCCCCACACATACTGTGATCCTGACCCAAACTGAGCCCTGTAGGAGTTGTTCTGAGTGTTGGAAGTTAAGGACTTTGCGCTGCCTCTTAGACTGAGGCTTCAGAGGGGGACTATAAGAGAGTCAGAGAGGTAGATATGCTGGGACACGGAGCATCCTTTTCCTCTACTACTCTGATGCTCTCCCTTTGATGTGTAGATTGCTAATCCTACGGGGAAACTTCCTTCCTTCTGTCTTGACACCTTCTCTCCCCGCTATGCTAACCTTCTCCATCTTGGCACCATGAGAGCAGGACATGGTTTCCTGTATCTCTAACCATCCTAGTTAGTTAGACTAGATTAGAAGCCTCTCCCTAGCCTATCTAGAATGGAGTTCCATACTAGTTTTGCAAAGATAAAGAGGCTCCGTGTGTAACTTTGTTTCTGGTCAGCACACACATTCCAGATGGGCTTAGCTGCGTTTATGTGCCTTAAGCACTCTGCAAACTAAATAATCCAACATTGAGCACAGAACTCTCAGGGCACATCTGGTGGACCAAGGCAGACACAGAGTGGAGGAACAGAAGGACAACATAATCTCTACTTGGGCCCTCAGTTTCAACGTCTGTTTCCCAGTCAGTCTTTTAACAGAAGCTAAACATGGGTGCTGTTTCCTTGAGATGTGTGGCACAATTATCAGTGATTCAAGCCAAGCACAGACTCTAGAAAGTCAGCATTTGATAAGGGAAGATGACGAAATTGCATCTCTTTTGTAATCCTGGGCCTGTCGTCTGGCCCATTATGTATTTTGTGTAACATTTTATAAATAATAACAGTTTGGGGAGCTGAAGACTGACCATGTGCCCTTTCCTCTCTCCCCTCCTCTACCTGCTGTGCAGGACAAGACTCCAGAGCCAAAGAAACATGCCTTTGTGGAGGGGGGGGCACGGAGGGGGGGGAATGAAGACAACAAAATGGCAAGTCAGGAAAAAAAAGTGATGCACTTTCACCCTTCCTCCACTTCCCCACTCTTTGAGGAAAAGAAAAAAAAAAGGCTATTTGCATTACAGGCGTCTGTGAATAATTGAATGTAGGAACTCAGAAATTAGCAGTTATACCCAAAGTATGAAGATTTCAGTGTGCGTATTTAACCTTTTATACTCTAACCCAGAAGTATAATCTGAATGTGAGAACTGTTGAATGTGGGATTCTTAGAGTACAATTCTCAAGCTCTTTTTCCAGGGTTGGAAAAAAATTCCAAAATTTCGAAGTGCTAGAATCAGATTTTTAAGATATCTCAGCAACCAGGATTTGGGGGATTTTTCTAAACATGTCATATTTATGATAATGGAAGGCGAACATCAGAAGTGGTCCTAATACAAGAAATATAGATTCAGGTGGGGGTCGCTGTGTGGGTCTGAAGCAGCAGAACAAAGTTTGGAGTCCCCCAGTGGGGGCACCTTGAAGACCAATGAAGTTTAATTCTGGGCATGAGCTTCCATGTGCAGGCACACTTCTTTAGACACATAAAACTTTGTTTTCACACAGCCACTAACCTGGGGCATAAAAGCTGTCCCACAGCTTACTTGCTTTGTTGTACAGTAATTAATCTTTGTGTCAGGAAAAGCATATATTATTAGTACACACCTGGCTGCATGAGTGCTTTCTCGTCTGCTGTACATTGATTATGGAGCCAAACCCTCCCGCCCGGCACAGATTGTCACAAAACCCTTGAGAGGGAGCAGGATTGCATCTGATAACCTTTGCTACACTCAGCCTCCATGTGCTGGAGGTCCTGTCTGCCCAGGGACCTACCCAAACGCACATAGGCTCTTATGTACCATCATCTGTACCTTGAAAAATTCACTGAGGTTGCTCATGGCAAGGGGACAGGCAATCCCAACCTTCCATATACATATAGCTGAACACGCTTTGTGACCCTATTCAGGGGTCATTTCATAGAAAAAGAGGTGCAGGAGCTCATTAGCATAACTCATTAGCATAACTTATTTGCATCTGCCACACCCCCTGACATCACCAGAAGTGTGTCAGAAGACAACACCCACCGCTCAGGCTCCACTGGACTGTTTCGGATTGCTAGCTATTGGGGGGGGGGGAACGTGCAGATCTGTCCTCGCAGAGGAGGGAGAGCTTGTACCAGAATAAAACTTGGTCTTAAAGGTTCCACTGGACTGTTTTGGACCGGGGGGGGGCCTCTGTAACTTACCTGGCTGCTTCTTGCTCTGACTGAGGTCTGCTGGGAGCAGGGGGTGGGGCTTCTTGCATGTGCCCGCCCCCTGGGCTCTTTACTGCTGGAGCTCCGCTCCTGTGCGCTGCCACAGGAAATGACCCCTGACCATATGAATAATACTACAGTTGATCCTCCTCTGATTAGGAGAGGCCAAGACAACAATCATGATTCTCATGTATGTGTCATATATACATGGAGGTTTTCTACTTCCATGTCAGAAAAGTAACAGATGAAGCAGCCCTTCTTTTCTCCAGAGCATTCACTTTCACTTTCTACTGTGACAAGAAATGGGCTGACTCAGAGGTTTTTTACATTTTATGGATTAACAGAAAGCATTGAGTCACATATAGAATGTTGCATGCTGTTTGATAATGAGTACATGAACTATGATATGCACCAAAAAACTGCAGCCCAAAATAGCTCTACTCTGCACGTGTGCATGACAGAACAGACCTTTCATGCTGCACATTGCTTGTACACGTGTGTGAATCCATAACATGTGAAGCTGCAGGAGGGGAGAAAGTTCTCTGGAAGGACTTCTTAACCTGCACACCTGCTAGATGAGCTTCGATCCAAACTACACACAATAGAACATTTTGTTCTTCCTAAAAACTGGGCTTTTTCAAAACAGGAAAACGGCCCCTGAGGCTGCAGGTGAAGGCTGAAAGAGCAGAAAGGGCCACTGGGAGAAAGAGTCCCCCTCCTTCCCCCTCTGCGCATGGTCAGCAGCTGCGGAGGGCCAAACTTTGAGCAGACAAACAGCAGGAGGGTTTAAAGGCCCCACCACCCTCTTGGCCCCAGGGCTGCTTTCCAAGAACAAAAAAACAAAAAAACCCATCAGGGGAAAGAAATACACAAATGCAAGCAGAAGGAAGTTACAAGATTGGTGGAGTGCAGCAGAAACTGGTGGGGGGGAGCTTCTGTCAGCAAGGTTTACTCTGTACATGATTGGTTTTGCTCCTGATGCATTCTGAGTACAAAAAAGTCTCAAGGGTAGCTAGTTTGTGGATTAGCAGCTTTTTGCCTTCTTTGTGCTGTTACATTCCACAGCCATTTTGACCCTCATTTCTCTGGAGAAATCCCCAGGGAGATAAGAGCTATCACAGGAGAACAGATAAAAGGCGGCACAAAACCAGAATCCAGGGCTCAGGGCAGACAGAAGGGGAGATTAATTGAATTTGCAATTTGGCAACATTTTAAGGCTTGAATCAAACTTTTTGACTTCTAAACATTTCCAAAGTTTTACAAATAATATTTCAGTCGCAGTCACATTTTGAAGAAATGAAGGTGCTCCACTCTGGTTACTGAATTTTAAGGCATTCGTGTTAAGGATAAATTTGCCAGATTCAATGTCCTTTTAAAAAAACAACTAAAGCCAACAGTGTGCATTCAGTGATATTGGATAAAACCCAGCTAGGAGACTATTCCAGTTTTTGCAAGTACATTCAAATATGAGGATTTGTTTGAGAATTGCCCCCAACACACACACAGTTGAGCTTTAAAGAAAATTATAATTGCGTTGGAAGATGACTGGTGGAAACCAAACCTTCAATCACGCCTTAGTAACTGTGGAACTTAGCACTACTCCTCACATCATTTATTTATGACATTTATATCCCATTTACTATATTTATATCCCATTCTTGAGAACTACTTTTATCGTATCTCCTAGAGATCTGCTCTCCAATCAGGTCTACTAGGAAGAGGGATCTGATATTATAAAAGGGGGCCTAATCTGTGCTCACCACAGACCAGCTACAACCAGAGGGGCTAAACATTACAATATTGATTTAGCAGACTGGGCGGTTCTGAACAGGGCTGCCAACTCCCTGCTGGGGAATTCCTGGAGATTCGGAGGTACACCCTGGGAAAGGGTAGGTTTGGAGAGGGCCATCGGGTCCACCCACCAAAGCAGCCATTTCCTCCAGGGATACTCTGTGATCTCTGTAGTCTGGGAGATCTCCAGGACCTACCTTCAAGTTGGCAACCCCCGTACCAATTCAGTATAATTTCCACACAAAGCTACCCTGATTCCACATAGTTTATAGTGCTGTCCATTAGTCAAGATCCATCTCTGGCCTACTGGCTGAAGCTTTGCATCACACAAGTCCAAACTGAAACTAGATTCTGGAGTTCCAGATGGAAATATGAGGACTCTCCCTTGCAAGGAGTATCAGCTCCAGACAGAGGTACAGGAAATGGAATTTGTGGGGGGGGGCACCTGTCTGGAGGTCATTCAGAAGTAAGGGGTTCTGCGATTTGCATGATTTGGTCTCAGTCAGGCTTGTCCGCCTCCCACTCACATTTGACGCGGAGTTGAGCTGAAGTCTGTGACTCGCCCGCTGTGAAAGTGATGACCCCTGCGTCATGCCGTGTCACTTGCACCAAGACCAGCAGGTGGGTTTTGCCAAAGCTCCTAATCAGGGTGTGTGGTGCCTCCACGAGTTCCTGCCCGTTCCGGCCCCAGCTGGATGCCTCCACAAGTTCCTGCGTCTCCACACAGAAGGCGGCATTCTCCCCTTCCATGACATCCAGCTTCCGCGGCA